ATCTATCCAAATCTAAAAGCATAGGCAGCTATTTACCATATTCCTAAAATCTAGTTTGCATCACAATTTGAATGCCAAATCTGCACATTTGGCCCCAGGCAAGGTCTCGTCAACTTTGCCTGGAAGGAAAAAAAACCCCGTTACTTTCCGTATATTCAGCGCCCAGAAGACAGTATCTTCTTTTTCTAAATCCTCTAAACACTGCAAACCTTTATTCATCGACTCTGCTATTATGCAGTTATGTCTGGCTGGAATAAAGAAAAGATATGTTCAGTGTTTGAAACAGTAAAGTTTTATGTAGCACCCAAGGTCAGGGAAGAAACTAAGCTCATTCTATACACGGTGTGTTACAAATTGCAGTCTAAATGGCCAGGTCCTTCTGAAAGCAAAGACATTTTCAAAGTTTTAAATATCACAGCTTTATCGAACATCCAAGGTTCAGATAAAAGGGATCGGTCCTAAGTGCTTCCAATGCAAAAACATTATTGTACGTCAGGATTGCAGCGTGGACAGTTAAGAGAAGAGTGCAGGCAATTACGGCCGACATTAGCTTGCTACTTAGTCCCTCTCTGGCACCCCTGGCTTTCAACAGCCAAGCACTCCCAAAAGGCCAGGCTGACATTTTCAAGAGAAAAATGTCCTTCTGAGAGGCCCTGTTTAATTACCCCAGACACACACACACACACACACACACACACACACAGACACACACAGACAGACACAAAACTCCACAAGGAAATGGGAATATGAACCCACATAGCCGCACACATGCAGACAGGGTGACTTTCATAAGCAGTGGGAGACACACACGGATGCATATCGAATTTGCATTTGTGCACTTGCACGTGTTTGAGGCAGAAAGAAATTAAGGAACAGATCTGAAAATGATTACAACAGCACTAAGTAAGATGGAGGTTAGTGAAACAGCACAACACACTGCTGCTGCTGTGGGAGGAGGAGGAGGAGGAGGAGGAGGAGGAGGAGGGGGGACATATGGAGAGCTTTATCATAAAATGAGATGTCCACTATTTGAATAAATGAATCTGACAAAATGATTAATGGCACAGAGACGTGGCGTGTGCATATTTCCAAGTACAGACAAGGGCGAGGGAAAGTTTACTATGTGAAACAAAAGTTAACTAACAGTAAAATGTATTACATAAGAGAAATACTCTTTTTTGAATGTCTCTACTCCCACAGCACAACAACACTTGCTGCTGCTTCTCCCAGCCTGTTACTCAGATATTAGGCTGGAGCAGTAAATTCTTCAGTGCACCTTCAGGATGGTGCCGGCTGCAGTCGCTAGATTTCAGATGCATACTGATGCTCGAACCTGAAGCGATTTCCACTTACTGAATCCGTTGAGGTCCTGGTTGGAGGTGGAGAAGGGGTCGTCTTTGTGCAGCGTGCTGACTTTGGTGGTGCTCTTATCAGCCGTGGTGACCGGACCCATCTCCCTCTGCTGAGTGGAGCTGCTGGCAGTCTCCTTCTGCTTCTTTGCCAACTTCCTGCAGTGGTATCAACACATGCACACAAATAAGCATACACACAGGTATGAGCTCCCCCCACACACACTTACACACACACACACACACAGGCACACAGATATATTTACACATGAAAGCATGCATATGTGTGTGAATCAACATGCAAAGCCCAAACAGAATCACAGACGACAAACATACATCAGAGGACAACGTGTGAGTCGATGAGAACATGCAGCAGAAGAGAATATTTCATTAAAACGCGCAGCGACTCGAACACATGGGAGATGAAATAACTTGAACACTCTGGTTTATGCATTGCAGCTTTGAAAAGTCGTAAACACGTGTTTACAGTTGACTGACGTATTCACAGACACGTATCACCGGTGAGAGCAAATAGGGTTTTTCCTGTCACTGTATCAGGGATGTAGTTTGTCACTTATTTGTACAAAGACATAGAAAAACCTTTTGTGCATGCCACATGTCGGAATGCACACCTTAACTGAAACTGGCTGTTTCTTTTTTTTTTACTTCATTATCTGCGCTTAGTTCTGTGTACTCATGTAGTCATAATACCTTCTGAGAATTCAAAGGCTACAGAGTCCCACGGGTGAGATCCCATCCCGAGACTATTTCGAGCTCTGGTTTTTCTTGTTGACATGTAAACAGCATCAACGTTTTGACAAGTCATCCTGTATCTGCACCTCATGCACTGAAATCACATCCATATACATATTTTTTTTTTAAAAACTCATAGAAGAACATTTTCTAAATATTTAGTTGAGCATGGACGTATGTGTCACTTTCTCCCACTCTCCAACAAATGAAGCCAAGACGCCCTGGTTGGAAACGCTGCCATCTTGGACCGATGACATAATTTGGAGCAAGAGTAACGTCCGTTAAATTAAAACTTATCAGAGACATAAAAACTTGAACGATGTGATTAAAACATGTGTTTGGTCCATGTTCCATTCGCTGACATAACGAAGGCAGAGCTTATTACCTATACTACAGCCAGCCTGCAGGGGGACATCAATAAGATAAGATAAGATAAAATGAGATAACACTTTATTAGTCCCACAGTGGGGACATCTGCAGTATTCCAGCAGCAAGAGTTTACCCTGCAGGAGCACATTCAAGAGAACGTTCACGCTAAAAGATGCTTTGTTCGTAAGACGACTCTTTTCTCTGTGAATGATGACAAGAAGTTTTTTCTCTGTGACCAAATAACAGAGGTAGATCAGTTTCTCTTGATATATTTGAGCAGGAGGAGGTTAACAAGCAGTCGTTCAGTAACATGTGGGGCTTTATATACGGACTGATGGTAAATGCAGTCGTAGTAAAGAGTGGCTGCTGATGAGATGTCCCCTGAGTGTTGCTGTAGCCTTGTGATTTGTTTTCTTCCATTTACTGTTCTCATGTCACAGCTCCCATCTGCTGGTCGTTTCACAGCGGCTACCCTGAGTTTTACCGTCAGTTTCAGGTCCGCTGAGACGGCAGATGGCAGAAACGACAGCGCGCCATAACAATGCGACACCGCCCGGCAGATTCACCAAAGCTTGCACAAGTTGTGCCATAAAGCCGAGTTTTACTGCCTTTTCCTGCATTTAGCTCCAGAAGTCAAAAATGTTGTTTGAACCTGAACATCCTGGAGGCGTTAATGAGTGGGGCAGGCTTCAACTGCTTCCTTTCACAAGGTGAAATGACGCCAAGTGTTGTAATGGAGCTTAAAATCAACTCCACCGGCTGTACTGCCGTCGGCTTCAAATCCACGAGGACACCAGGGCAGGGTTCAGAATACAACCAACACGTCCTCTAAGATCTTCAGTTGATGTAAAGCTCAAGCAGCAGGTGACACATTTGTAGAGAACTGCAGAATCCACGGTGTCACTGTCTTTTTAAGACGGCAGGGTTTGTATACACGCTGCTGATTGGACGAAACCTCTGACCCACACACCAAACCAGAGAAAATGAACATGGATCATGGGCCGGATCCAAAGTTTTACAGACCGCACATCTCAAATGGAAAGATTCCAGGTAACGACGACATCTTGAGCTCAGCTGAGGGAATGAACGCTGCATTAAAGATTTATAAAGACAATATTTCAATATATTCTGAGCTGCGGTCGCTGACAGATACTGAACGATGACACTCGGAGTCAGATTCAGAAATCTGTGAATAATCTATGTGACAATCATATTTATTTGTAATCAGAAAGATTCTGCCCCGACAGCCAAGTGGCCATTTCTCTGACGCTCTACAGCTGGAGAAGAATTAATGGAAAATGTGATTAAATCTATAATGAAACAAAAACTATGAGAATCCACAGTCCATCCAAAATAATAAAAAGAAAATGTTTTATTTTAAATGAACTCTTTCACTTTACTTGTCAGAGTTTGAACTCTCTCAGTGTTTGCTCACATTGGAACCTGCTGCACTTTAATATGCGCATCAATAACACATCGTTTTTCTTCAGAGGCAAATCCTCTTAAAAAACACAAACGCCTCACACAACTTTTTCTGGAGTCAACTAAAAAAACCTCCTCCGGAATCCACCAACACATTCTTCAACTTCCCGAAGGTGTCTGACATCTCGTCACGAATGGCAAACAGTGGGCTGTGTGTGTTTGTGTGTGTTTGTGTGTGTGCAGCAAACACTTGATCTCCTTCACGGCCATTTCATTGCTGTGTGCGTTGAACGTTCTCGGCTGCGTACACGTGTGTTGTTGTATCTGGCCGTCGGCTGCCCGGTGAGTGGGTGTGTTTCTCGGTGACCCATCACGAAGCCGCCTAATACGCCTGCTTTCCCCGTGTCTCCGACAAAACTGAAGCATCCTGCCCAGTCGCTCCGAGAGAAAAATTAGACTTTCCTACACAGCATTCATCAGCATTAATCACATCTTCTCTGCAGTCAAGTTTTTACTCAACGTGTCTGAGAGCTTTCAGGAGAACTACTTAGAGGATGAGTCACTAGAGTGAGAAATTGATAGTCTGACTAAGAAGAAGAACATTTCTATAAGTGACACCAATCCCAGAAAGTCAGCTGGTTATAGATGTAATATCTAACTTCCTGGCGACATGACTCTTAAGAGACGGTTCTCAGTTCTCAGGAGCTTTAACACAGAAAAACTGAACTGAGCAGTTTCTAAATAGTTCTGAAGACAAATATATTTTCTCTGGCACGACAGGACCAGGAGCAACCGATCACATCTGTAGGTGACGACACTTGAGGGGTCATATGTTCATGCATGGTGAGATCCCTCTAGTTTTGTATTATTACAATACATGTGGTCATTGTTTTCTTCCCGACCTGCAAATCTTCTGTTTCTTTGTTTACGACATAAAAACACAACACAAGCAGAATTATGTCATATGAAGAGAATTCCTATAAAAATGCTTAGCTTTGCATTCATGCATGTGTGTGTGTGCTAATGTGTTTCTTCTCTGTTTGCTTAATAATATGCGCAACATGCATTTTTAGAAGTCCACATTAAACTATGAATCCAGCAGGTGTCTGTGAAGATATATATATATATATAAGATGAAAACAGGAATTAAACCAGTATCATTGTAAACGTCTGACACACGGTGATGACCTGAGCTTTAGTACTTAACCACTTCAGCCAAGAGACAATCTGAGTGGACGATCGAGGACAGAAAGAAAGAGAAGAAAGAAACAACAACCAGACGAACAAGAGGGAGAGTGAAACGAAGATGTTAGAGAAAGAGACAGAAACGTGCAAGATAGAAGAGGAGGAATGGCCGAGCACAGTTTCTACCACAGTCGTTTCTTTCCATCAACCTCGCGTGTGCACCAATTTAGAGGAGCCTGGAAACCTCCTGCGTGATTGCAGCTCAGAGTGGCCTATTCCTGGCTATCTGACTGCACGTTGACAGAAAGTGGGCAGCAGACGAGGAGGTGCGCAAAGAAGAGGGAGCCAAGTGGAAAAGAGATGGAGAGAGAATGTAGAGAACAAGAGGAGTGAGGAGGAAAAGGGCGCAAGGGAGAGAATGGAGGGAAGGAGTCGGAGGAGGACGGAGGAGGTCACGAAAGAAATACAGAAAAACACTTGTGACCTGCGAAGAAAGTGAAAGACCGTCTCCCTCTCATCCCCTCTTTTCTCCACACCTCCGCCCAGCACACATTCATCCTCTTAATGGACTCGTTTAAATGACAAACTCGTTGCATATTGTGAGTGACAACGAGCACGACGTAATCCTTCCTTAATGAATGTCGCGGCAGCAGTTCATTAAGCGTTAAGGTTACCCTGCCGGGGGCCGACCGCAGCAGAAATCATGGACTACTTCAAGCCCCCCCCCCCCCTCCGGCGACATTAATTGCCGGTTGTTTGATGTGTCTCGATAACGAGCGATAATGATACGTTGTTTTATTTTGCGTGCGTGATGAGTTTGCGAGGAGGCGTGAGGAGGGAGAGACAAAAAGATGAGAAGAAATGGTGTGAGACAAAGTGGGTGTAGTTTTTGGTGAAGTGGAGCTGCGATAACCGCTGTTTAATTGTTGCTCAGTTGATGCATTAGGTGTCACGAGCAGACGAAAGGTTCATTTCACAAGTGCTGGATGTGCGTTCGGTAAACTCATTACTTAAGTTCATCATTCAGAGTTTCCATGAACTGAAATATTCATGTTTTTTTTTTAATCAGTGTGTCTTATTCACATCTACCATCGAGTCACCTTCTAGTAAAATGTCATCGTTGGCTGTAAATGTTTTTTATATTAATTAGTCACATGAGATTTAATGCCACGTTTGTGTAGTTTGTCTGTTTTGAATGCTGCAGAATTTGGCACAGAAGAGATCAATCAGGTGGAAAGTGATGTGTTGAGGGAACTTGTGTCATCAACTCTGACAGGCAGGTTATGTTTTCTTTTCTTTTGTTTGACAGACTGTCAGTAGCCTAAATCTGCTGAACCCACCTCCACGAGAAGTTGGAGCAGATCCAGATCAATGAACGAGTTCAGGCATTTTTCTTTCTCTTTCTTTAACGTGGCGAGACAGAGCGTTCAACTTGGCAGAGGGGCGTCGTCTCTCCGAGTACGTATATTAAGTTATCCTGATAAACGATATATACACAGGTCATTCACATTAAGTTGTTTATTAAGTTATTATTTTGTTACCAATGACGAAATTGCTGTATTTGAAGACCAAGGACGTAGAGGACATATCCAATTTGTCCAAGTGGTTCTTTGGTGACCTACATTTGTTCACTTCCATTTACAGAATCATTAAGTCAACAACCGTTGTTTGGCTGCTGCTGCTTCCTGTTCCTTGCAGCTGATGCATGCAGAGGGAATTGCATTTATTTTAGCAAAAGCCAGGGCAAGTCAAGAGGGGCGACCTTCAGGCGTCCAATCAAACAAGGTGGAACGACATTTGTTTCACTTGTCGAGAGATCGACAAAACTCCCGTGCTACGGAAAGAAAGGCCTCAGCCAGTGGGCTGGCAGGTAGATATCCCGGAGTCGTCCCCAGCCAGTGCCGCAGTCAGACAGGCAGTCCGTCACCGGATGATGACAGCAGTCGCTCCAGAGGAGGCTGCGGGCGAAAGCCAAAACAAACTTTCATCTGCGTATCACAGGATTTAGAGGCAGGCCCAGCAAGGGAGAGAGAGATTGAGGGATACAGAGGGAGGTGAAGAGAGAGATAGGGGATGGAAGGAGAGGGAGAAAAATCCCTCTCTCATCTAACAGTAAACATCCTTGGGCAAAAGCTCAGTGTGTGTGTGTGTGTGTGTGTGTGTGCACGTGTACGTGCTGCTGCTGCTACTTTGTGATAATAACAGTTTTCTATGGTTCAGTTTGTGTCAGAGTCCAAATACTTCTGTACTTTTCTAAAATCTGCCGTTGATATGCTGATCGTTATTTTATTTTTAAGCAGATTAAAAAAATATACCAATATTAATATAATGGTAATAATACAAGTCAATTCCATCTCCTAATATACTGCAGAGAGGATATCATTCACCAAAGCACAGAATGAATAAATAGAAATGATTATTTAAGGATGAAATATAAGAAGAAATGTGTGACTGGGTAACAAAACCTTTAACGGCGTTAATGAGCTCAGTTAGATTCTGACACGAAACAAAACAGAACGTTTGTATTTTTTGGCTCAGTAGTTATAAATAAGGGTATTCGTGCCCTCGTGATTCTTTATATATATGTTATGCTACATGCTATATGTTGTTTTATTCTGCATCATTCTCTCCCACTAATGTGCCGTCTTGATGAAAGGAGGAGCGATGGCCGTCGCATCCATTGCAGTGGAATATAATTAACTGTCTTCCATCCTTCTGATTGTGTCAATCTCTTCGCGTGAAGAAGAGATTCCTGCTGCAGTCAAACAGCCTCTGGGTGGATGTTTTAAGAAGAAGAAGTCTTGGCATGTGATGACTGTTCCGCTTGTTTAGAACTCTGCTGCCGATTTAGAAGAAATTTCCAGATGCTTTGAAGACAGCTGGAGATTCAGGGATTTTCAGAAAATTCTCTGCAGGGATTTGTCGGTGAGCTTGAGGCAACAGACCACATGTGTTTACGCAGGTTTGTTGGTCTACGTGTGTTTGAGAGTGTGTGTGTGTGTGTGTGTGTGCACTTGCTTGTGTATGAACGACTGATATCGAGGCTCCTCTGGCTTTAAAAGCAGAAAATGGCCACTTGATGAAGACGATCACAGTGATTTACATTGACCTTTACGGATGAGACACTTTAAGAGAGGGACCCTGCAAACACGGGGAATTCATTATGGCTGAAACTTAAATAACAAGTCCGCGTGCCGAGAGCTTCCCGCACGAGTCTGAACATGTACAGTTCAAGAAAAGCAACTGCTCCTTCGTAACAATACGTGTGATGAAAGTTTCACAGGCTGATCTGCAGAGTTTTCATTTCAGGGCCGGTTGTCTCACTGCTTCTATCGATTGTCTCATGTGGACGAAGGCTCCTTCAGACGCAGCCGACATGCATTCTTCCCGAGCAGCAAAGGATCGAAGGGCCTGAGCCTTCGAGAACCAACAGACCCGAGGATTAACTGGACGCCAATGACGATGCTAATGAGCTAACTGTGCAAAGGCTAGCAAAGTCCTCTAAAGTAATCAGGACGTGATTATGTTCTTACCATGAGCCTGAACTTTAGCTCCCTGCATGGTTGTTAAGCTTCTACACAAATTATCTACAGTGAAGTATGAAATGCACTTTCTTTTGTCTTTATACAAATGTTTATCATCTGATTTCCTCATAACTCGACCTCTGTAGATCATGCATGTGTGGTTCTGGTGGAAAAGGGTTTGAAAAGGCGACTCGTTTTGCGAGCGGCTGAAAACAACAGCTTTTACAACGCAACAGTGAGTCGTTCCACTCCTCTGTTCCTGTTTTCCATTGGCAAGCAAAGTCTGAGTTCCATATTCTTTCAGAGATGATTTACTACCATCTGCCAAACGACGTATTGTGCCTGCAGGTCGCTGTGTGGCGTCGAAGCATCGAGTCAAAGTTTCTAATCCTCTAGACCTTTTTCAACATGCAGTGGAAACATCCTGCCGGCTGCTCAACCACAGCAGGTGCACTGGAGATTCAGATACCAGCATTTCTGGGTTTTTTTTTTTTTTTTTGGGTTAAATTGAGTTCATGCTCTGATTCAGCGTTGGGTTAAATACAATAAGATACAACAATGCAAGACAACATTTGAACAAAGGTAGTCATAAGGAACTGAGAAAGGAGTTAGTCCTGATGTGAAATCTCTACTTACAGGTAATAAGAGTAGGAATAAGCATGTCTTCTGAAGCATGGTGAGGTGAGGCCGATGATGACAACAGAGCAAAACCCAGAAGAAGGACAAACACATTGGATTAGTTCATCATTAGAATGAAAAAATTATTGTGGACTTGTTGGTAATTTTATTTATCACCTTATCTTTCTGTACAGTTTTTGTTTTTAATGTGTCCTCTTGTAAAACAACTTGACTGTCTATCAACTTTGCATTTGTTCCCTGAAAGTTTTTACAGAGTCGATCCCCTTTCAATTCCACATTTTTAAAAAGATGTCCGGCCGTGAGCTTAAACTTCCTCTGGTGGCTTCTGAGTTAAAAACACATGTCTTCATTTACAAGAAGAGGCAATAAAACCAATCTACGAATGATATTTTGTTGTAAATCAGCCGTGAAGTGGTCGACCCAACAGATCAGAGGCATTAAGCAGCTGCATGCTGTGTGTATAATATATTAAAAAACCTGCACATCTGATGCCTCCATCACCAGCAGGCTGGTGGATAAGACACATGTTGGATGAAGAATGATAGAAAACAGTGAAAGGTAGAAGATGGACGTTGATGGAGGAACAAATGGAAGCGGGGTTTGTGTTGGGGGGGGGGGATTCTTTGTGATGAGTGTACGTTGTTGTTTCCAGGATTCAAAGTTTTAAACTTGGTGTAAAAGGCTCATTCACAGAAAATGCTAAACATATTGATATTGTTATTGAAATCATGTAAATTGCAAAGAGGGTCGATAGACACAAAATTAACTGATACAGACAAATATATATATTTATATTTATATAACCTTATTAAGTTGAAGGCAAGAAAATCAAGATGGAGTGTTTGCACAGTGTTTTTTTGTTCGTCCCCTCCGTCCTTTACTTTAAAATACAGCCACAAATCTATACGTCTGCATTTCACTTGACCAATAACTCATTCATCCGTGTGTGTGTGTGTGTGTGTGTGTGTGGTTGTTTGTGTAACTGGACTCCCTGTGGTATCCCTCTAATGGTTTGTTGGCAACTTTTCCCCCCCTGGCATGGACCCTTCATTTGGTGACACACTACAATACACAACCGGTTACACACCTAACTCTCTCCATATTTCAAAAACCTTCACACACCATCCATCCATCCGTTCGTCCATCCGTCCATCCATCCATCCATCCATCCATCCATCCGTCCATCCGTCCATCCCTCCATCCGTAATACCACTTAATGCACTATTATTCACTTTACAAACTAACTTTCACTGTTTCAAAAACCTGTCTCTCTCTTTCTCTCTCTGTCTCTCCCTCTTTCTCACACACACACACACACTCTCTCGCACACACACACACACCCTCCATCATACCCATAACCCAGCTCTGCTGACATTGTCCTTATGATATTAATAAAGTGCGGCGCGCTGAGAGCTCGGCTGTAAAAGCCACAGCTGTTAAAACTGGTCATAAATATTAATATGGCGAAGAAAAAACTCTCCACCGCCATGTGCACGGCGCTGTGTGTGTGTGTGTGTGTGTGTGTGTGTGTGTGAGAGAGGTCCTGATGTATTTGTACATGTTTGTGTGAGGGAGTGCATTTGACAGTCTGGTAAACGAAGAATAAACGAAGAGTGGCACTGACTCGTTTGTCCTGCAGCGACTGAAAGTGTGGACAGTGTTTATGACTGGACTCTGTTTCTTTTACAAGGTTGGAGGTTTCACCAGAAAGAAAATCGCTCGGGACGGACTCCCCGGGGACGAACATGTAAACAAACATGGCGTCCAAAGTGGCGAGGACGATGGTGGGTGTCTCTTGCTCAGAAAAGCCTGAAAACATTTAAAGTTCCACTTCACAATGACGACTGATCATTTTCACGCCCTACTTCCTCCAGGTCTCACTTTAATCTGGCTCATATCTGACATCACTGTGGACTCAGTCAATTCGACTGATACCTGGACAGACATGTCCCTGTCCATAGTGTCTATCATGTGATAGTATTTTCATATACAACCTAACTGAGGTACAGTGAGACCCTTGTGTCCGTTATGTGCAGCTGCATGTAGCCACAGTGTTATATATTCTTGGTTAAGGTTATTTGTCAGCGGTTTATGCCTCATACAAACAGGACCATAAAAAATAATGGAAACCGCTGTATTCATATAACAGCTGGATGTGACTTTACACATAAACACACATCTGCTCTCTCTCTCTCACACACACACACACACACTGTTGTACTGGAGCTTATCTTGGTTTTGTGTGAATAGTTTCTGCTGCGAACGCACAGTCGTTCTCACACAGTGTGACGGCCGCAGTTTATCACAGGCTCGTATGAATACTATCAGCTGGAGATACACACACACACACACACACAAACACACACATCAGCGTGGATGTGATGAATCGCTCATCACAGGTCACTGGACGTATTAGCCGTCACCCCGTTGCTCTCTCTCTCTCTCACACACACACACACACACACACACACACACACACACACACAAACAAGGACATTGGATTGATTTCCATTAACCGTCCACATCCTAACCTGAACCCTCAACCAGGACCACAACACTGACGTGTCCCCTCATTAGGACCAAGCGTTGGACCCCATTAGCACAACTGGTGCCGACAAGGTCAGTGTTTATTCAAGAAAAGGTCCCACACACACACACACACACACACACACACACACACACACACACACTCACACACACACACACACACTCACTGTGACGACAACGACACAATGCCTATAGTTTATCACACTTATATATATGAAAAGTGCGTTATGATGGAACACTTTCCCTGCAGGCGGGGCTGGAAGAAAAATGTCTCACCTACTGCATGAACACACACACTTCTCTCTCTCTCTCGTGCCCACATGCTTGCTTCTGCAGGTTGACACACACCCACACGCTGGCATGTTCCGTGTATATGTACACGTGTGTACAAACATACAGCAGCTTGTGCATGTGGCCCTTTACTGACATCCGCATTCCGTCGATGTGGCTTATTAGCACCTCATTACAGCTCGTGCACGCTAACACACATGCTAACACGCGGACACACACTAACAGAGCAGCCTGCAGTGGGTGGACGCACGACGAGATGAGGGGAAAACCACTTTCTCTTCCATCTGTGAATATTGTCAACATGTCCTTTATCAAACCGAAGTGCTCAGTGGGAAACAACAGAATAATCTTATCATGTGCACGTGTGTAAAGATAATTAATAATTAATTAATTCATGAATAGGTGTTATAATTGTAGTGGGATAAAAATAAACAAAACGTCAATAGAGTGACAGGTTTTCATCTCTATTCATTATCTAGTTAATTAGCGCTGTTACTAAATGGATGTCAACATGCCGTGTGCATATTGACACAGTGAAATACACGGCAGACACACTCATAAATTAATGAAGAGGAAAATTAATCATGAATCTATAGATTGTAACTGTCAAAACACTCTTCTTTTTTTTCTCAGTGCGGAGAGAACATTTCTCTTCGACTAAAGTTTAATTAAATCTCCGTCAGGTTAGAAAGGTCAGTGACGCAGCAGGTTTTCTGACGAGCGACTGACCTGAGATCAGTGCAAACTAAGTTTAGACAAAGACAATCAATTGTGTATTTTGTGCCTGAGATGTGTCATACTGAAGAATGCACATATAAATATATTCACGTTTCAATTATCTCGGGATTACAATTTATGTGCTTTACTTGTGGAAACGTTGTTCGTTCAGATTACCTCCAGTTTTAGCTCCACAACATTGTGTGTCGTAGCTGCTTTGTGTGCAGTCTGTCTGACAGTCTGACAGCTTGTGTTACTCGCGGTAATAGTCTGTCGTCCACAGCCGAGCATCCTTCGGTTCTCAGATATTAGACGAGAGACTAAAACTACTATCGTAATGTTAACAATATGAATAAAAGGTAAAAAAAGGAAAATAAGACGCAGATTGGAAATAACAGTTTGCTCTTTGGAGCGTTGTTGTTCTCAAGTTGACATGAGTGACATGTGAGTGTGAGTGTGTGTGTGTGTGTGTGTGTGTGTGTGTG